AGAAGATGGAGTTTAAATAAATACCAAATGGCTCACTTTTCCAAACTGCTGTCCCAGTCTGACCTCTGAGTTCTCCCATAAGTGTGTGGTTCCTTATATCCCAGGTTGTGCAGCATGCTGCAATGTGTCCTCACAGAAAGGAAAACGGGTCACATCTTGTGGGTGCTAGGAAGTGCCAGATCCAAAATTCAGACATCAGTCTGGAGGATCCTCCTCAAGCCCAAGTCGGTGGAAGCTGGTAAAATCCGGTGATCTGGTACCTTAATGTTCTATCATTCATCTCTAGTTTCTAATATCCATTGCAATGGCTACACAGAAACTTGCAGACAAAAAAGCATGATTAGAGAGCTTATTACTGAAGTTAAGTTGTAATGCCTGTGAGAAATGCTCAGGGTAGCTGCTTGTAGGACATATTAACAAAGTTTCAGGTCTGCTAAAAAATGCCTAGTGGGGCATACCAATCTGCTGTAAGCCTCAACCCAAAGGCATTCAACTGGAGTTTTGTGGGTCAGGGAACACAGCTTCCTGAATTACGAGCCCAGTGTTGTCCCACTCCAGTAAGCCTCAGCTCTAAGGCACTTCGCTCCACTTCCCCAATTAAGTGTCCATAGACACCCCGCTTCGCAAGCCAGCCTGCATAAAAGCACTCACCTTTGCTTGGTGGGTGAAATCCTTCACTCTGTTCCATGCTCTGGCTACTGTTTTTGCTGCTCCTCCTCTGATGGCATAGCTGTCTTCCGGATCCAGAATCGCTGCACAGGGATTTCAGGTCCAGAGCATGTGCTCCACTCCTGGCTCTTGCTAGTGATGACATCCCTCCTCCTCCTCACAGGGCTCGTTTTAATGCATCAGGGTGGCACTTCAGGGAATCCTATCTGCAATTGCAAGTGAATGCTATCAGTATCTTCCCTCACTTTCTTACGAGACCATGCAGGGAAAGGTCACTTGGTTAAAGTTAGAAATTTGGGTAGAAGAATCACAGTTAATAATTCACTGCCCCTGCAGGTGATAAGCTGCAAATCAAGTTCTAAGAACCAGAGGTTCATCAGAGAAAGGCACAGCAGATGTAGGATCCAAAGCATTTGCTCGACTCCTGGCTCTTGCTGGTAGTGAAATTCTCCCTCCTGTTTCTCAGAGGTCTCATTTTATACCCAGCAGCGTGCCAATCGTGGTGAGTTAATAGATAATTACTTACAGGTGAATCCCATCAGTGTCTTCCCCCCACCTTCTAAAAGATCTGTACCCACTCCAAAGAAAAGTGATCCGACAGAATGCTCAAATTATGGAACAATATCATTAATATCACATGCAAGTAAAATTTTACTGAAAAAAATCCAACAACGGTTACCGCAGTATATTGACAGAGAACTGCCAGAGATTCAGACCAGTTTCAGAAAAGGATGTGGAACAAGGGATATCATTGCTGATGTCAGGTGGATCTTGACTGGAAGTAGGGAATACCAGAAGGATATCACTTGTGTTTTGTTGATGATGCCAAGGCATTTGACTGTGGGGATCTTAAACTATGAATAGCCTTAAGAATGAATGGGAACTCCAAGACACCTAATGGTGCTCATGCAGAACCTGTTCATAGCAGTTGTGCCATCAGAACAGTCCTGCAGGGTATAAAATCAGGAACAGTGTGCATGAGGGTTGTACTTCTCACCATACATATTCAAGCTGGATGCTGAGCAAATCATCAGAGACACTGCCTTAGATGAAGAGGAATGTGGCATCAGGATTACAGGAAGGCTTAACCCGCAATATGCAGATGACGCAGCCTTGCTTGCTGGAAGTGAGGAGAACTTGAAGTACTTGCTGATGAAGATCAAAGATTATAACCTTCAGTATGGATTACAATTCAATGTGAAGAAGACTTAAATCCTCACAACTGGACCATAGGGAACATCGTGATAAATGGAGAAAGGATTAAAAGTTGAGTTCAAATCAAGGATTTCATTTTGCTTAGATCCACAATCAATGCTCATGGCAGCAGCAGTCAAAAGGTCAAACGATCCACTGCATTGGGTCAATCTGTTGCACAAGACCTCTTTAAAGTGCTAAAAATTATGGAGGTTGCTTTGAAGACTAATGTGTGCCTGACGCAAGCCATGGTATTTTCCATTCCCTTGTTGGACATTGAATAAAGAAGACACACAAAAAAAGATTCAATGCATTTGAGTTGTACTGGTGAAGAATACTGAAAATACCAAAGCCTGCCATAATAATAAACGAATCTGTCTTGGAATAAGTACAGCCAGAGTGCCCCTTAGAGGCAAGGATGGTGAGACTTGGTCTCATAAACTGTACATGTCAGAGCAGGCCCCGGAGAAGGGTCACAGGCTTGGTGACGTAGGGAGGCATCGAGAAAGAGGAAGGTCCTGCACAAATGGACTGACACCAGGGCTGCAACAAAGGGCTCAAATCTAAGAACAATGGCGAAGCTGGCGCAGGACCAGGCGGTGATTTTGTTCTGTTGGACACAGGGTGGCTCTGCATCAGAATCGACTCAATGGCACCGAACAACAGCATCATTATTTCTTGATCAGCTCATTCGCTTGCTAATTATTTTGTCATATTATTTTCTTCCTTTAGGTCAGTGGTTCTCAACCTTCCTAATGCCATGACCCTTTCATACAGTTCCTCATGTGGTGGTGACCCCCCAACCATAACATTATTTTCGCTGCTACTTCATCACTGTCATTTTGCTACTGTTTGAATCATAATGTAAATATCTGATATGCAGGATGTATTCTCATTTTTACAAATTGAACATAATTAAAGCATAGTGATTCATCACAAAAACAATATGTAATTAATGTGCTTTATATAATTGATGTATGTATGGATTGTGATAAGAGTTGTATGAGCCCAATAAAATGATTTTTAAAATTAAAAATAATTACTTTTTAAAAGCAATATATAATCATATATTGTGAGATATTTATTTCTAATGACAAATAAATGAAACTTTGCCTTGAAGCATGGTAAAGCATGGGTAACAGTCTTCACGCAGGGTACTCATATGTGAGCGTATCTGCATGTGGGCGGGCCCACCTGGAGATGGAAAAAGGAGCGGTGTCTCAGTTCCTAAGACCATCGGAAAGACCCTGTGAAAGGGTCTTTCGACCCCCAAACGGGTCATGACCCACAGGTTGAGAACCACTGCTTTAGGTTAATTGTTATTTGTTCATCTCTTTCTCCCAGAATGTTTTTGATGTTCAAGTATGCATTCTCTTTTTTTTTCAGTTGTTTTATTAGGGGCTTATACAACTCTTATCACAATCCATACATACATCAATTGTGTAAAGCACATTTGTACATTCATTGTCCTCATCATTCTCAAAACATTTG